CCTATGAGTTATGGAAAAGGAAATTGAATTGTGTGTTTTATTTTTAAAACACAACCACTAAAGAGGTGTTTCCATAGTAACAAGGTCAATACCAGTTGCCATTACAGACCTTCCTCTTTGCTGACAGTGGATTTAAAGATCTTTTTCAAATATCCTTTAAAAGCTATATGAAAAAGTACAGCTTTTCTGGTCATTCATCTGAACCCAAAATGAGGGAAAACACACATGGAGTATTGAATTTCTCATGTTTTATGGATTATAAGCATTCATGGCTGTCATAATTTCAGTAGGAAACCCATCTGACTAGTTATTATGCCAAGCCCTGCACATGGGATTTGATTAGCCTAATTGTAAATCTGGACAAACAGAAGTTGTTTGCAGTAGTATTCAAACAGATATATAAGGCAGCACAGTATTAAAAAACACACTTCTTTAACATCTAAATATTGAAAGAGTTAAGTAAACAATCCCTGTTATTAGAATAATTTCAAAGGCTCATAGAAAATATCATATCAATACTAGAGGAAGATTAGAAAGATATCTGCCATATTTTTTAAACAGATAAAAATAGGCTAAAAAAATTCGATCCATTTAGTGCCACCTAGAAGTGGCCATGCCTTCCTCTTCATTTTTTATCAAGATACACTGCCCATATAATGGTTGTTTGTGTTACCTTATCTTCCCCACTACATTGTGTGCCTCTTGAGAGCAATTTTATTTCTCTTTACTTGTTCAATATTTTGTATACAAAAGCACTGAAAAATTAAGTAGAAAGTGAATTATGAAAAATAATGACACACAAGTAATTAATACAAAATAAAATGATACAAAATACCTGGTCTATTATAAATATGTCACTTAAAATGCACATTCATAATTCTAATCTGTTTAAACAAAGAGGTCCTAGACTCTTGTTCACAAAATCACCAACTTTTAAATACCAAACCCAAGTGCCTGACTCCTAGACTGGTCCCTTCAAAATATTTGCTGGTGGGGCCCTGGCATCAGAGATTTTTAAAACTACTCAGGTGATTCTAATGTGATGCCAGATTTGAAAATTAACTCTAAATTGTTCTCCTGGGGCTCATTAATGATTGGTTAACTTTTAGCTATGTTTTCTCTCAATATTTGCCTCATAGTCCTATATTTACCAAATCCATGAGACATTTTATTAAAACCAAATAATTTGTTCCCTAAAATCACTTTTCGTAATAAAAGCTTCATTTTTTTCATTCTTTCATCAAGAATCTATTGGCTATTTATTTTATCTTGAGAATTATAATAGGTATGTAGGGTAAGTAAATGATATCAGGCTTTTCTGCCCTCCCACCATTAGGATTTTTGATGGATCCTTGTGGTCCTGAATGCATACCTGATGGCGGGCACCTGGAGGAGGGTGTGGGCATGCGTAAGTGGGTACACCTGGGCTAAGACTGGGCTTATAAGGTGGCGTCACGGGGACGCCAGAAGAAGAATGAACGGGAGAGCAGAAAAACAGAACTATGAGAGCAGCAGAGAACAAGGCCACCAGAGAATGCAGGAGAGCCCAGAGTGAGTGAAGACTTGCTGGGGCCTGGGAGGCCTGCCAGCCTTCTGGCCCCCCAGCACCCCTGCCTGCCATGTACCTGGTAAATCCAAATAAAAACCTGCAAAAACCACCAAGGCTCCAGGACTCCTCCTTTACCCCGTCTGCTTGGGTCATAAAGATCTTGCGCTGTGCCCGTTCCTACACCTACAAGGTACTACAGCAAAATAAAAATTTAGCAAAGAGTCTGCCTTTAAGGAGTTTAGAGGTGAGTGGAAAGTGGAAGAAAGAAGTATGTAAATGTAGGAACAAAATGGTTCCTATGTGGTTGATAAATTTCCATGGTCTATGAAAGAAAAAAAAATGAGATGAGGAGCTGAATTTTGCCATCAAGCCTCCATGCCTAAACATACTATCAATTTCTTAGTTAATGGCACTTTGTGATAAATAGACTGATTGTTATTGATATCTGCTAGGTGGAATAGAACTTAGGTTATTATCTGGTAAAATTAAGCACAATTCTACAGGATGGGCAGAGATCATGGTCATTAGTTGAAGTTCTGACATATGTCCAACTCCCTAACACTAAGAATTGTTTCTGTTCAAATCTAGTTATTATTTCTCTTCTACTTGAGACCCTCATCAAGTTAGCTTCTTCCTGGATTCAAGTTCTAGTCTTCAGCTGCTGCTTATGCCCTAAACGGAGTTACAGAGTCATCACCATCTGCACTACCAGGGATTTCCCCTTTCCAATAAAAAATCTGCACACTGGGCCTCCCCGGTGGCGCAGCGGTTGAGCGCTGGGTTGCGAAGATGCCCGCAGCCTCTGCGGCGCCGGTTCGATCCCCGGCTGCTCCCCGGCCACCAGAGGAGGGTCCCGCATGGCGCGCAGACCTCTCCTGCCGCCCGCTGCTCCCCTCAGCAGTGTACTTCGGTCCTTCTGCCTGCCTTGCTCCCTGCTCTGGCTCTGGTGAATTCTCTCACCCTCCCGCACTTCTGACTGTGCCCAGTGCTTGTATGTATGTATGTATAAATCAATAAATCAATCAATAAATAAATCTTTAAAAAAAAAAAAAAAAGTCTGCACAATGAGCACTGCCCATTACTGCTCCTCTTTCCAGGTAAGAGATCCCGCAGCTCATTATGTCTCCAAAATCTCAGCTCTCTAGGTCTTCTGGCTAGTCAATTCTGTATTCTGGCTGCACTCAAAGAACTGGGGAGTGGTTTTAAAGGTGCTCTTTTTGTAGAAGAATAACAGGTATTGCATTAACGGTACTAAAATTTCCAGACCTGCAGAAGCTTAGGATAAAAGCTTCAATTACAAGTCTATTTTATACAACTAAAAGTTTTAATCCAATTCTTTTCAATATACTTATTAGATTTTGTTACTGTGAATAAAACTTTGAAACAGAGTTGAATACTATCCATTATAATAGATGCTAAAATAATGCTGCTGGAATTGGCTAGATGCTTCTGCGTTTTTGTGCTTATCTTTCCCATATTGCTAATACACTTTACCTCTATCTGTGTAGAAAAATTAAGATTCATCTTTTAAAATATCCAAACCATATTTTTCTTCCTCCAGGAAGTTCCCCCTGATTCAGATAGACTATTAAGCACTCCCTCTTTTAGAGCTGTCATAGCCCACTGTTTCTATCTGCATTTCTCATACTATACTGTCTTTATTTTTCTTCTCTTTTACTTTGAAATAAGTCTCTTCTCCATCCTAGATTGTCAACAACTTTGAGCAGGTCCTGATTTATATATTTCAGCTCTTCTCTCCAGGCACAGCACAATAGTTAGAAACAATAGGCATTCAGTAAGTATTTACAAAATGAAAGAATAAATGGCCACATTGAAGTGGCAGGTGCATTTCAAAACACTGCTGCAGTGGACTGAATTGTATCTTCCCCTTCCCCCATAAAATTCATATGTTGAAGCCCTAACCCCCCAGTGTGCTAGTGTCTGGAGATGTGGCCTCTGGGAGATTATTAGGTTTAGATGAGGTCATGAGGGCAGGGCACTCTTGATGGGATCAATGCCCTTATAAAGAGAGACACCAGAAAGCTTGCTGTCTTTCTCACTCCCTGCCAAGTGAGGTCACAGGTCAGAAAGGGATCCCTGAACCTGACCACAATGGCAGCTGTAGAACTATAAGAAAACAAATTTCTGTTGTTTAAACCACCCAGATAATATTTTGTTCTGGCAGCCCAAACTGAGTAATCTTACAGTGAACTGGGATTAATGTACATGAAGATAAAATTAATATAAACATGGTAGATATGTATATTTTCCCTATCATTTAAATTCCTTTAATGTATAGTTGCTTGTTTTTTCAAAGAAAATGTCATATCAAATGAACTTACATATGCATTTCACACTTCCTTCCACATAAATGTGAGGCATAATTTTTGGTATTTCCCTTGTACACTGAAAAAAGTCTGACATAAACATATCTCAACATCACAAGGAAGTGATTTTGCAGAACAATGAATCAATAGGAAAAAATAAGTCTCCTTGGGGACTGCATCATCAACTATAGCTATTCACTTGGTTTTCTGTTGTTCCTTACAAATAACATTCATTGAAGATTGAGCATGTTTCTTGCACTGTGATAGACATTATTTCTTAAGGTAATTCATATTGTCTTCTTTACTATAGAGAAAATTTTAAAGTCTTACAGAAGTGCCATTATACATCGCTATTCAAAAAATACTGATTGTGCGCTGTGGGGATCCAATTTTGTGATTAAAGCCAACTGAAGCTGGTTTCACTCCAGCATTCTCTTTGGACTATGCATATAAACTACCCAATCTTTAATGGTGCATCTATTCTATTAAAGCACACAAACTGTGTCATTCATATCAGCAGTATCCACACTTTGAACTTCACAGAGAAATTACATATTTAAAATTGGGGGAAAACTAATGTCATGTCGCCAATATTTTGTTTAAGCTAATTAATAACACTAAAAACAAATAAATACCACTATCAGCTATCACCATCAATCCACCGATGACAAAATATTTTAATACAAAATAATTAAAGAATATAATCATAGTAGAGAATAAAGGATAGTTTTCAAAGTCACTACACTTAGTTTATTTTTCTTATCTCAGCCTAGACTGTGAAACATTGTTAAAAAACAAATCATCTCTGGGGGTGGAAGATATAGAAATATCTGCATCTATCACTGATGTCTCTGCTTAGCTCCTATTTGTCCCTATTCAAAATCCCTTCTTTATTCTTACGGCTGGCCATCAAATCATAACTCAGTTTAATCCCATCAGCCATGTAGGGTTCAACTGAAAAATGAGTGTCTAGTAAGATATAATTATTTTTTCTCACTTAGGCAAATACTAAAGATAAACAATGCTTCTGGTCCCAGGATTTCTTTATATTTCTGAATCTATAATATGCAATATACATACATGATAGCTATAAATTAAAGATCAAACAATGTAACAAGACTTACATATGCGGACTCAATGAAACTGCTCTTGCCATTACAATTCCAAGAATGAGACTTGTTAAAGTTGTAGATATAAGAGAGATCTGCAAAAGAAGATGTAATGATATCATCAGTTTAGAGCAGGAATGACTGTTATTAAAAATTTAGCTTTTTCTCTTTTTACATGTTTTTTTTTCATAAAATTCTTTAGTAGTTAATTATTTTTTTTTTATAGAGGCATGTTTTTATTTATTTATTTATTTATTATATTTGTTTGTTTGTTTTGTTTATACATGCACTGGGTACAGTCAGAAGCGCGGGAGGGTGAGAGAATTCACCAGAGCCAGAGTGGGGAGCAGAGCAGGCAGAAGGACTGAAGTACACTGCTGAGGGGAGCAGCGGGTGGCAGGAGAGGTCTGCGCGCCATGTGGGACCCTCCTCTGGTGGCCGGGGAGCAGCCGGGGATCGAACCGGCGCCGCAAAGGCCGCGGGCAGCTTCGCAACCCAGCGCTCAACCGCTGCGCCACCGGGGAGGCCCAGTAGTTAATTCTTAATGTGTTGATAATTGAAGTCATGGAGATTCTTATCAGATCTTCATCTTAACCTTTTTCCCTTAAAATTAAAAATGTATCACATGACTATCTTGCAAAATTATTTTAAGTGTTTTTAGTGGGTTCCTGTGTAGAACACAAAAAGGATGGTTTTGGTTTATGAAAGCAGAAGTTAAATTGTTTTTATTCTCTGGCCCTACTGTGGTGCTCACTTATGCTTTTTTTTATCTACAAATGCTTCTTCTGCTTCTGTCTTTCTTAACCCCACACTTTCAACACAACACCCTCTCTAACACCTGCCCATTCATACCCGTTTTTTGGGGAGTGCCTCTGCTTTTTCTGCTTTGCTCTCCAGCTCTTTTAGTCTATTTTTCCTTTATGTTTTTACCCTTTGTCCTATGTTTCTAAATCTTCTTTGCTTCTTCCTCTCCCCCTTCTGCTATTATTCAAATGGCTAAAATATAAATTGCTTCGTGTGCATGTGCTCTGTGCACTCATTACATTAAGTCAGTGTTTCTACTCTTAATTTTTTAATGAATAAGCATATTTTGGACTTTTTTTCTCTTATTAGAAAGATAGCAAATCACTTGCATTTAATTTGAATGTCATTAAACTTATTTTCTGAGTTGTTAGCTTTTAAGTAGAAAGAAAGTTCTATTTGGACTCCTCCAATCTACTGAAAAAGAGAGCGATTAAATAACATCCAAAGATCACATAGCTAGAAAGCTGCAGAAGGGAGACTCAAAGGCAAGCGGCCATACTCCAGGTCTGGGCTCTTACTAGCTCTGCTCACTAGCAGCTTTATCTAGATATTGCAACATAGCACATTTAAAGGATATTCTTGGGGGAAAAGTAGTTACTAATACTATGATAGAATATTAGTAGCTTTCTTTTCATGAATGCCTTTTTTCTCCTCTAAGAAGATAACACTTATTGAACATTTAAAATAGAAAATAGTTCAATCATTTTAGATGGTCCCCAAAATGCTCCTTTTGATAAACTCCTGCTTATTTCTGAATGACTCTTAGGGAAGGAAGGTGAAGTGGTCAGTATACTCTAATAATGCCTCCATCCTCAGTTCTATCTGGAGGAGAGATGTTAACTATGGATACACATCAAAGGGAAAAGTAAAATTCAATCAGCTGCTTCAAACTAGAATATAAAAATATCATATGCATAACTCTTTTTAAAAAAATTCCTTCTGAATTCTTGGCATCAGATAGCTATAGAGCCAACAATATTTTGGGTAAAATACAAATATTGCTTGAGAGTAAGGAAATAAAATACAGACAGATAAAGGCTAATCTATGCAAATGAGCATATTTGGTGATTTGAGTAAATATTTGGCTGGTTTTATTAGAAAGAAGTCAGCATTTGTCTTTAGCTATACAAATCATAAATATTGTCCAAATTCAAAAATTAAACATATTGATATATAAACTCATTGGATAAAAACAGGCATGACAGATACTGCAATTTACAAAAAATTTTTAAGCCAATAAAGTGATTCATCCTCACTTCTGAGTTTAATTTCAAATTGTTTGACCTTGTGTATATTAAAAGACGATAAAACATGTTTTCAGTAAGACTTGTTTTAAGTATGCTTCTTTATATTTTCTAAACATAAAAAATTGACACTTTTTTTTAAACATGAAGAAACTGGCACCAAAATGAAAAAGAAATAATATATTTAGTTCACACTCATCAACTTACTAACCATCAATCCCCCTACATAAGCTAAAGATTTGATCATAGTTTAGTCAAGTATAGTTATAAGTAAAATACAGGAAGTTAAAGGAAAATACGGTAATGAAGAACTTGGCCATATTGACAGTAGTGTCACAAAAGTAATGCAGGTAATAAAGTACATTTCTAAGCTTATTTAAAATGTAAAAATTACCTTTCCAAGCTTTGCTATATCTCGGTACAAGGATAAAGGCAGAGTAAAAGCAACCGTGGAAAGCAAAATAATGAAGTGGCGACCAATAAACAAGTTTTCAGGATCAACTAAAATACAATAAATTTTAGAGTGTTTAGGTAGGAGTAACATAAGTAGATAACCAAACATTGAATATTACTAAGTAATAACACATAAATTACAAAGGTTTTATGAGTGTAAATTAATTCCATAAAATCATAGAAAAATAGAAATAAATCACAAGTGTATGTACACAGAACAATTTAAACATAAACCTACATTTTAATTAGTGCTATATTTTACACTCAAATGATTTTAATAGATTCCTGGTCAGTTTCCCTACTCTACGTTCCTTCGTCCCCTTAAAATACACTCAAACCACAAACTATAGAGATCCTTTCCAAACACAAAAACATCACTGTCTGTTCCAAACCTTCTCATGGCTTCATTTATGAAGCTACATGAGGACAGGGCATTTTCTGAGGTTTTTAACTTTGTATTCTAAAATGACTTGGAGAGTAAACCTTAAAATTTCCAAAATTGAGGTATCTATTTATCTATCTATCTATATATCTATCTATATCTATCTATTATCTGTCTAGCTATTCAATATATTTTTATCCTTTGTGAGAAAGGAATGGCTTCCTTGAGGGAAAGTAGACAGAAGCAACTTGTTGGACAGGGAAAATGTCATTGGGAACAGCTGGGACCTGATGCGCCCTCAGGCTTCTGACTCTCATAAGGAGAGAATATTGTGTGTGTTTCTTTATCAAACACAAATGAAAGTGGTGAAGATAAAATAAAACATGGCAGGATTTATATAGTTTTAAGATGTGTTAATTAGTTTTCACCTCAGGAGCTATATGTCTTTTCAAATGCAGACACCATTAGTTCATACTGAATTTCTTCAGAGATCAATCAAGTCATTCTATTTTTGAAATGTTGTCAGCGCTAGCAAGTCTTTATGCATTCATTTGTGCAAAGTGTAAAGCCTGAAGAAGTAAAGTGAATGTGATTTTAAAAAAGAGAGAGATTATTCTGAAAAGTGAGAGGACTTTTCTTATATGGCATACAAACTGAGTTCCAAGACTGGAATCTGAAACGGCATACATCCCCACCACCCCCAACACGTGGATTAATCATGAGTATTTGTTTTAATAAACAAATATCAGTTTTAATAAACAATTATCACGAAGTTGTGAATTAAACAGTAAAACAGGAAGCTCAAGTTACCAAATTCATGAACTTTATTATTTACAAATTTTTAGTGAAGATAATTTGTATTTAATTATTTGTATCTCTGTTTCTATTTATTTCTTCAAACCATATGCTTTACTAATATGTTTCATAGAAAATATATTCCCTTCACTGGGAAAATTTTAAGCTCTAAGAAACACTAAATAGACTGCTATGAACTGCATGTAGGAGCCTAATTAGTGAGTATCTCCATTAGTATAAAGAACATTTTCCACTAATGAGCAAATGATGACATCTATTACATATAATGATATTCTAACAAAAATGCACCTGAACAAGTATAGAAAAGAAAACTGAATGCTGAAACTAGAAAAAAAAAATGTATTGAGGTTTAATTGATGTATTACATTGGTTTCAGGTGTACAACATAATGATTTGATATTTAGAGATCGCTGAAAAGATTACCAGAGCAACAGCAGTTACCATTTGCCATCAGACAAAGTTAACTTTAACGTTTATTACCTTGCAACTTTTAAGTCTACTCTACAATACCACTAACTACATTTGCCATGCTGTATATACATCCCCATCACATATTTATTTATAAGGGATATTTGTATCTGTTTTCACACCCACTTCTCTCCTATCAACCAGTGCACTGTTTTCATTATTTGTTTTGTTTTGTTTGTTTTTATAATTGTACATACAAGTGAAATCATATGGTGTTTGTCTCTCTGATTTATTTTGCTTACATAATTCAAGATCCATTCATGTTGTCACAAATGGTAAGATTTCATTATTTTTTATGCTCAGTAGTATTCCTTTCTGTGTGTGTCTGTGTGTGTGCATATAAAAGCATACATCTTTTATCCGTTCATGCACTGAAGGACACTTAAGTTCTTTTCACATATTGGTTACTGTAAATAATGCTAATATGAATAAGATATATCTTCAAATAAGTGTTTTCATTTTCTTTGGCTAAATACCCAGAAGTGGAATTGCCTGACCATACAGATGAATACTAAACTTTTTGTAAAATTTCAAAATCAACTGAATATACTACTTCTTACACCAATGTTTCTCATTACTCTGACTTATATCAAAGACCAATGCCTTGTTTACCTGAGAAAACATGCAATTGCCTGCTTGCCAGTTTAAGATATTGATAGTGTATTTCAGGGGAAATATACAGCTTTTCTAAGGATGACTTACTTCTAAAAATACACTGGCAGCATACTATGCTTTAAAGATATACAAACAAAGCATAAATTATAAAACATCACATTCAACAATGGTAAAGAAACTGACAAGAATAAAGTGTGCTCTGCAAAATTGACCTACTTTTTAAAGGTCATTTTTGATTCTTATAAAATTAATAATCAGGATGTTGGTTTCAAATGGAATTTTAGCCTCACCCAGGATGTTTTACTTTTATTAAAAGTGCATACTCATTCATAAAATTTAAATAAATAAAATTTATTAATCAAAATATTTCTATCAGAGAAAATGAAATGAATTATGATTTAGCTTACTATACAGTAGATGCTGTACAAGAGATGACTGAATAGCTATTAAAGCAAACAGGAAAGATCTCTATGATTTGACATGAGAATGGGTCTCTAATACACTAAGAAGCACTTTAAAGAACAAGATGTAGATTATATTATTTATATGAGTATATGAATTCTTAAAATTCTAAACATACGATTCAAAAAGGAAGGAAAGGAGGAAGTTGTTGAAAGTATTACCCCTACACGATTGTCCCAAGAGAAAGACGTTATTGAGAATGTCTATCTTCTCCATTTTGCTTGTCTGTGTTTTCTAATATTTTCCTAATAAATATGTACTACTTCTCAAATAAGAAAATAAAGGGATAAGAAGTTCTTTTACACAAACACTGCTCTTTTGAAAAACTGAAAAATATCAAAGAAATCAAACAAACAAAAATTCCATGGACCCCACAATTAAAAGATAACCAGAGTTCATGTGTAAATGTATTTCTCCTTACCTACTTAAGGAAATAGAAACAAACAATTTAGATAACATTGCATACATAACACATAGGTTGCCCATTCTATACACTTATGATCTCAGTTTAAGAAAGCATAACTTGGAGGTGGAAGGCTGGGACAGAAGTTGTAGACAGTTCAAGGTAACAATAATAATAGAAGTGTGAGAAAGCCTTCTCAATGGGAAGTACTCTATCATTTTTTGTTGTTGTTGTTGTTTCACACAACAACTCTATGAAGCAGGTGGTATTCTGATCCATAATGTAGAGATGAAGAGTCTGGAACACAGAGAGGTCAATTAACCTGTATCTCTCAAGTAGTGCATCTGTGATTTGATGGTCAAGTCAATCCTGTGTGAGGAATGTGTGCAATTTCTAGTTCTAGGTTTTATTTTATCCTACTTTATGTGTTTTTTGAATGAGTGATTCAAGCACTAAGAGGAAAGATGTTTTTCACCAGTCCAGCTGTAACAACTAGTTAGGTCACAATGAAATGGGTATTATGTGGCTTGGATGAGACACTTCAAAAAGACTCATGATCTCTAAATTATTCAAACCGCCATGATAGGAAGGGTTTAACAGAGAGTAGGTTTGTGGTACATGTTGAAAAGGTCAACCCAAATTTATAATAGATAAATAGATGTACATTCATGCAAAGGAACAGATTTCAGGGATTTAAAAAAATAATAATAAAAGAGCAAACAACTGACAAATCCAAAGACAAGGAAGAATTTCACAACCATTATGCTAAGTCAAAGAAGCCACACTCAAAAGCCTACATACAGTAAGGTGTCATTTGGCATTCTAGGAAAAGAAAATTTGGGAGAGAAATCAGACTGGTGTTTGCCAGCTGCTGGAGATGAGGAAGGATGTGACTATATAGGGGAGCAGGGAAAATTTTAGGGGGATAATGATGGAATTTCCTCTCAATTTTGATTATGTGTTTGACCATATGTATTCATCAAAAACACAGGATTATACATTAAAAAGGGTTAATTTTACTGTATTAAAACTATACCTTGATATAAATAATGGGGGGAAAGATCAGCTTGCATATTTAGGAAATGATATAGTAAAAATAGTACATGAGAAAATGTGACACCAGAAAGTTGGTGACATGTATTATAACATATTTAAAAGATAAAGTATTCTATGTATTATAACATTTATTATTCTAATATTCCCTATTAGTAGGATTATATATTACTATATATAAAAGTAGGTTAATTCTTTCGGTTCACAGACGTTGCCAGATTTTGAAGTCATTTAATTCCCCTACTTGGAAATATTTTACTTATAAATTACATGAGCCACATTAATTATGAATAGCTATATAAAATAAATATATCAACTTACCTCCTGGGATTCTTTGAAAAACTTTACTCAAAGTGTCCCCAGTTATTATGTTGTAACTTATCATAGCTAAAAACACAGTTAAAATAAGACAGTCACCAACAAATCATCATGTATTACATCTTGAATATTTTTATAGTTATCAGTTATTACTTCCCAAATAGACAAACTTACAAATTAATTATATATATAATTATATATAATTACCAATATGTACAACTTTTAAAATAATTAGCCAACATATTTACAGGAGGATATCAATCTTTCATTACAAAAAGATTTCACTTCACAAATTGATTCTTTATAAAACACATTTTTAAATAATAGCAAGTTTTGGTAGTGATTTTAAATGCGATGTATTTTGATATTAATATTCAGTTACCAAGTACTTTTTCAGGAACACATGTATTGCTCAAAGTGAGGAATAATAATAGAAAATTGTGAAGGCTCCAAAATATCCCCCCCCTTTTTTTTTTTGGGTGGGTCGCTCGCCAGCGCTGCAGAGGCTGTGGGCAGCTTCGCAGCCCAGCGCTCAACCGCTGCGCCACCAGGGGAGGCCCAATATCCCCTCATTTTAAAAAGTTTTCTGAGCCTTCTGTGTAGACTTAAGGAACTGGTAGTTTGAAAATTAGCTTCTTCATTACTGATTTGTAAAATGAAATCAATTTGGCCAAGGTGAATGTTAACAATTTACTTAGTTAAGAGCTAGGTGACATTTTTCACCATTCTGGTAAAATCTTTAAGCAGCATGTTGGCCTTGTACAAAGCTTCCAGAAATTCTTAGGTTTTCAAAAAATTGTATTTCAGTCTTAGAGAAACTATTGTTTCTCTCATTTTGAGATTAGTCTATTTCTCAACAAACTAGGAAAGCACAGCATTACCCTAAAGAAAATTAGCCTCATTTAATTTCAGTGAAATATCCAGAAAATCAACCAAAAAGGCCAAAAAAGAAGGGGAAAATGGCTAATTAAGTAAACAATTTGGAAAATATTTCAACTACTGTATTCTTTAATGATTAATGAAAAAACTATTTTATTCAGAAATGACTATGTTTATGTAAATATTTACAATATTCTTATATTTATCTTACCTATAAAAATCTTACCTATAAAAGGATACAAAAACTGTAGAACAGAAAGGAGGAGATACCCTGGAAAGCCAAAGGTTTTATTAACCAAAGACTGGTAAGTGTCTGTTCCAGAGAGTATTCCTCCTTTTATCAATAAAACCAGGGAAAAGTCTGCAGGAAAAAAAAATATGTAAATGTCAGACTATCATTAATAGTTTTTTTTTAACATGCCTTAACTACCATTCAGATAAAGGGAAATTTTAAGGAAGAGTTAAATCTATTCCAAAACAATTACCACTATTATTAGGATTACTTTCTTTTCATAAAACACTACCTTTTGTGAAAAGGTAGTTTCCAGTTATAAATTTTTCGATTGGGATGCAAATATAATTAAATATATCCATTTAAGTAACTGGTCAGAAAAGGGTATGTAGACTAGTGTCAAAGCATCAGTTTTCCTTTTTGCTTTCCTAGCTTGACCAATGTAACCACGATTAATAAGATGTGGCTCAATTATTCAAGCATTAGAATGTAGACATTCAAACATCTCATAGGCATTTAACATGTAAAGACTGGAACATTACAAAATGTTGTAAACATTCAAAAAAAGCAGATTTGGTAGAATCAGATCATCTGTTTTATAACACATTATCATTCATAACTTTTTGTTAGTTATTACGGTTAGGGAGACACTAAGAATTTTTTTTTAATTTACAGTTTGGAGACTTGAGTTCCAATATTAGAATTGAAATGAAGATACAAATATATAGATATTACATAATTAAAACTTAATGTCTTTATTTTTCATTTATTTCAGTGTTATTTGAACACCTAAAAAACGACACTGTAATTGTGCCGAGTACACAGCTATGTACATGGTGTGAAATTTGCTTTCTTATTTCTCTATCTCATGCTTCCATCACAAGTGATTTCTTTTTATCCTTTAAGCAATTTAGAAAAGCATTATAATTCAAAGAATAAAATACAGATCACTGCAGTACAGTTTCCATCTTGACTCGCCCAAATCCCTCACCCCCGCCATGACATGTCTCGTTTTAAGTTCATCAGTGAGCTCCAACTTGATAAACATAATTAACATCTCTTAAATCTTAATCACTTTTTGCTTGTTCAGCAGTATTTCTTTTCATGTTTAGCAAACCCCACTTGTCCAACCATCCTCTCTTGGTCTTTACATTATTAATTTCTCTTGGATTCCCTCCTACCTTTTTAGCTATTTATACTCAGTTTTCCACTAGCTTCTATTTTTACCCTGGATTCTTGGACTCTTATCTCATTTTTCAAGAAGTCATGTGGTAAACCATGTCCTTGGTTTCAATTTTTATACAGATGTTAGAAAACCCCAAATTTGTAAGTCCAGTCCACACGCCTCTGAAATTCCAGACTTCTACATCTACATTTTTCAGTTGTCAATATAGAGTTTTGGAACATTTTTTTTTTATTTTATACATTTTTACATCATTTTTCATTTTTGCACAATGTATGCATTTTCATCTTGGTTATAGTCACTGTACAATTCCCACCCCCCTTGTTTTGATCCTACTCCCTCCTCTCCCCCCATACCATAGTGTGTCTCTGGTTTATAGTTGCTTGTTGATTTTGATTTTTACTTTATTATAATTAGTTTTTTTTCTGGTCCCTTATTTAGGTTTTCTAAATTACTATGAGTGAGACCATGCGATATTCAAAAGGGAATCTGCACCCCTATGTAAATAGCAGCACTATTTACAATAGCTAAGCCATGGAAACAACCCAAATGCCCAAAAATAGATGACTGGATCAAGAAGATGTGGTACATATACACAATGGAATATTACTCAGCAATCAAAAAGATAAACTCATGCAATTTGCAGCAACATGGATGGAGCTGGAAGGGATCATGCTTAGAGAAATAAGCCAGAAAAAAGAGTTTTAGAACATTTTGATTGTGAGGGGAGTGTAATAGAGATGAGGACAGGTTTTATAAAGATAACTGTTACAGCATTATGGAGAGTTAGCCAATACTTTACAAATACGAAAGGCAGGAAAACTGTACAGCAACTTATTTATCAAGGAAGAGGATCTGAGAGGATATGAGTAACAGAGAGGAAGAAACCAATTTCACAAATGTGATATTTGGTGAAGAACTAAATGCTTGGCATGCGCATGATCAGAACTCTATGAAAGTTCAAATGTGGTATTACTGTTAGGCAAGACAAAGATATAAAAGGAATCCAAATTGGAAAAGAAGTAAGATTATCATTATTTGCAGAATACGTGATAGTACACACAGAAAACCCTGAAGACTCCACTAAAAACTATTATAAACAATAAATCAGTATTATTAAAATGGCAGGTTACAAAATCAACATACAAAAGTATATTGCTTTCCTACATGCAAATAATAAGTTAGAAGAGAAAAATCAAAAAAACAATCCCATTTACAGTAGCATCAAAAAGTATTAAATACCAAGGAATAAACCTAACAAAGGAGATGAAAGGCCTATTTAATGAAAATTATAAGACATTTTTAAAAGAAATAGAAGACACACACATAAAAATTAATGGAAAGATTCCACACTCATCCATTGGAAGAACTAACATTAGTAAGATGCCCTTCTTACCCAAAACAATATATTGATTTACTGCAATCCTTATCAAGTAAAATAGAATTCTTCAAAAGTAAACATTCCTGAAATTTAAGAGAAATTTAAATTTAAATAAAATCAAAGAGCTAAAACAATTTTGACAAAAAAGAAGAGGGAATAGGGATGGAGGTGTCATGCTTCCATATTTGAAAGTACACTACAAGGAAATAGTAACCAAAATAGTACGGTGTTGAAGTAAAAATAGACACACAGGGCCTCCCCGGTGGCGCAGCGGTTGAGCGCTAGGTTAAGAAGCTGCCCGCGGCCTCTGTGGCTCCGGTTCGATCCCCGGCTGCTCCCCGGCCACCGGAGGAGGGTCCCACATGGCGCGCAGACCTCTCCTGCCGCCCGCTGCTCCCCTCAGCAGTGTACTTTGGTCCTTCTGCCTGCTCTGCTCCCCGCTCTGGCTCTGGTGAATTCTCTCACCCTCCCGCGCTTCTGACTGTACCCAGTGCATGTATAAACAAAACAAACAAACAAACCAGCAAACAAATAAATAAAGCATGCCTCTATAAAAAAAAAAAAAAAAAAAAAATAGACACACAGATCAATAGAATACAATTCAGAGCTGGGACATAAACTGGCATTTATATGGACAGTTAAACTAGGACAAAAGAGACAAGAATACACAATGGACAAAGGAAAGTCTCTTCAACAAATGGTGCTGGGAAAACTGGACACTTACGTGCAGAAAAATGAAACTAGACCACTCTCACACTGTTAGGGGGAAATGATGTCCTGAGCTAATCCCATACAGGGTTTGTGGACCCCACCCCCACTCCAGACTAAAGCCATCAAATCATTGGAAAAGACAAATCCCGTCACCACCAAAGGGAGGGTGGCTGGGACCTGAGGGTGAAGTTGGGCAGCCAGGTTGGATATAAAAACCAAACACGTGGGCCTTGTGCTGGCTCGCTAATGCTTGCCTCCTGGCTTAGGCTCCTGGCTTGTGGCCAGCTCTCAGAGTGCCATTTTGGGATTGCTAATCAGCGGATCGGGTAGGAGTCATTTAAAACTTTGTCTCCCACTTTTCTCTCCGAGCTGTACATTTCCTCATTTCCCCTTCCCTTGTAAATAAACCTTTTATTAACCTTTCACGTGTGCCTGCAGTTGAGCATTGATAAGTCCTTTTAAGCGCGCAGGTGAGGACCCACAGTCAGGCACCCTGTTTTGTATCGGGACTGCTCTACAACAACACCATATACAAACATTAACTAAAATGGATTAGAGAGTTGGATGTAAGACCTAAAACCATAAAGTATATGGAAGAACATATAGGCAAAACATTGAGATATTGGCTTCAGTGATGTCTTTGGGAACTCAACTCCAATGGCAATGAAAACAAAAGCAAAAATTAACAAATGAGACTACATCAAACTATAAAGCTTCTGTATAACAAAAGAAATCCTAATTAAAAAGACATACAACTGAATGGGAGAAAATATTTGCACATCATGCATCCAAAAAGGAGCTAATATCCAAGTACTCATACAACTTAACAACCAAAAAAAAAAAAAAAAAAAAAAACCCAAATCACCCAATCAATATGTGAACAGAAGACATGCAGATGTCCAACAGGCACATGAAAATGTGTTCAATATCACTTATCACCAGAGAAATGTCTGGTGACATTCAAAACCAAAATGAGATACCACCTCACTTCCATGAGATTGGCTCCATTGGCTCATATAAAAAAACAGGAACAACAAATGTTAGAGATGGTGTGGAGGAAAACGAGCCTTTGTAAACTTTGGGTATGAATATAAACTGGTCCAGTCCCTATAAAAAACAGTATAGCAATTTCTCAAAATATTAAAAAGAGATCTACTAAATGACCCAACAGTTCTATTGCTAGATATTTACAAGAAAAATGCAAAAATAATAATTTGAACAAATACACTCCTATGTTCAGTGCAGCACCACTGACAATATCCACATTATGGAAATAACCTAAGCGCCCAATGACAGAGCAGTAGATTAAGAAGATATGGTACATCTTGGAATACAAATTAGTTATTAAAAAAAAAGATGAAATCTTGCCATTTACCACAGCATGGATAGAACTGGAGAAGATAATGCTAAGTGACATAAGTCAGAAGGAGTAAGACAAATTCTAGGTGATTCTTTTATATGTGGAATATAGCTAAATAAAACAAAGGAACTAACAAAATTAAACCAAACAAACCCTAGAAAAATGACTGTAGAATTGAGGCTCCTAGAGGGAAGTCAAAAGGAGGAGGGGAGAAAGAGGAGGAAGGAGACCAGATGGTATGGATTAAGGACTATGGTGGGTGTGGTGTCATAACAAACATCTGAGGAAATGTAAACTTATTCTATCTATTGGTTTACAGTGTGTGTAAATGTTCGCAGCACACTTAAATGAGCCATGGTTATTAAGCCTAGGTAAATTAATTGTCAGTTCTTACTGACCAGGAAACAGGAAATTAAAATGACAAGGGTAAATCCTTGAGTGGGAAATTTTAGAGTGATAAATGCTCTCATGAATAGTATGCAATTTTTAAACACCAGCCATTTTGTATAAGCACAAAATTTTGAGATACCCAAATAACTAAGTTATCGGTGTTAAGCTATAAATTAAGAGCTGTAGAAGCTAGAAGGAGCTTAGGATTGGGGAGTGGGTAGGAAATCAGGGAGGAAGGGAGTCCACTGTCTCTGTAGCTCTTGCTTGGTATCTAATGCAAGCTTTGCTATTCTTCATGTTGAGGAAAAAGAGAAGCTAATGGCTGGTCTTGGAAGCCTGAGATTTTTTATAAGGGATGATATGTTAGAGTCTCCAGAGGCAGGGCAGAGATAGATTCTTGGGCAAGGGATTTATTGAGGGAGTGCTCTCAGAGAAGGGTTATGACGGGATGAAAGGGCAGGAGAAACAGTTCAGCAAGCATGTGGTCTCAAGGGGAGACGAGCTATGGCCTAGCCCTGTGGATCTCTGAGCCTCAACTATACTGCACACTGCTCCCTCCTGGAGGCCAGCTTCATTGGGGTTTCTACCAGGCAGTCATTCACTGAAAGCTGCGGGAAAATGGTGGTTGGGGGGTCATAACCTCACCAGGAAAGCAGTTCCCTTGACAGCCAGATGAATACTCCAGAGTAAGGGGCAGCTGAGGTGTTTTGCAATTGTTGGACAAAAGTTCTCACATGGAGGCCACAAGCGCAGCAGCCTATGCAGGTGGGTACGTTTTAATGATTTCATGATGGCTGCCTCTTACAGTGATCCTAAGGTGGATGAAATATTCCGTGCGTGTTATGAGGTGAGTTGATGTCAGGGCAGAGATGAGGACAACAGGAAGAGGAGATGATTATGAGTTGTAAAACTTGCATTTAAGTAGGGGAGTGACAAAATATGGGTGTGAGTGAACATGTTACATGAAGATGGGTAAGCAGAAGAAAGGTAATATAGAAGCACCTTATTGCTGCCTTTAAAGATAGTGGCAGCAGGGTGCATGGGGCATGCATGGGTGAGGTGAGGAGGGCGTGACTGAGCACACCCTTTTGGCTGAGCACCAGGGCTTTCAGTTCCACCTGCATGAACAGAGATGAAAGAGTTTGCACATTGTGTGCATCTGCCCAAGGTTTTTGTGGGAAAGGATGCCCTGATGTATACGCTTTGAAAGTACAGTCTTGTTCAGCTGTACTACCCAGCCTTCAAAATGACTTCCCCATCTATCATCTCTGTATAATGTGAAAAAGCACATGAAAAGGATTTAGGCTGGGTAATATATAATGCTTTTGTACTTTTTCTAATCTGTTCAGAGGATTAGCAAGTAAAGTAAATCTCCTCAGACATAAGTATCTAAATTCTTTTGGATTCTTTGATGCACTTTTTAATTAGGAAATTCAATTGCAGAGTGTGTGTGTGTGTGTGTGTGTGTGTGTGTAAAATAGTTACTCTACAATTTAAGTGCTGGAATAAGCAATTATTAAAACATTTTACCTGTAACATATGAAACCCAGAATAAAAGCAATATTCCCAGAGGAAAGCCAGCTTGCTTCATTGAATAAGGCAATCCTGGAAAAACAAAATGCCCAGTCAGCACATTAATAAGATATATTGAAATACAGAAATTTTCCTACAATTCCTGTATCTAATAGGTGAAGTAAACTTACACATTTATATGGTAGTTGTAAATAGTGGATACAACTACTAAAATGAAATGCTGTAAATTACAGGCATGCCAATAGAGCAAATTTCTGAGATGAAGCAATAACACTAAAAAAGCATCAAATGAAGAACTGATGCCAGTTCACACATATGTTCACTTCAGGGTGAGGACATATAATCTTGAATATACGGAAAATAATCATCTAAACTTTTCTTAGGTGCTAACTGGGAAAAGAGAAGATAATAAGAGCAGAGAAAAATTTATCAGATACAAAAAAAAATGGACCCTGGAGTCAAAATGGGGTAGGTGGGAAAGATAAAGAGAAAAAAATGAGAAAAAAAGTTATTTTTATAAAAGGACATTGGAAATTATTTCTCAGGAACTTTGGGGCAAATGTACAATAATAATATTTTTTCAAACATTCAAAATATTTCTACCCATAATTTTTATTCTCTGTAAAATTCTTTAAAAAAAATCTGCTGAGCATGATTAAGAGGTACTTTTTAGTGTTGCTGACATGGATCAGCTAAAAGGGTTCACGTGAGGCATTAACTTTGGAATTCTGACATGCAGAGCTGACAACATCTCAGAGGTTTACGGAAGGAGAATTTCAAACAAGCCTTTGACCCTTCTTGCTTCTGCTTCGGCTTAGGTACCTCCATTTTATGTTACACTTGAATGAAAAATTGTCTATGTATGAAAGTTAGTAAAATCAAAACAGGTAAAATTATGATAAGTGAAAAAAAAATAGATCAAACCAGATAAAGTTTCAATGATGTCACTAAACACCATTTAACTGACTAAAATATCAAAACTCTACAGGAAAAAGTCATGTTTTCAATAAGTGTTGCAGTTTGCAGGACTTTGTTTTGTCCCTGCTTATTCCTAAATTTAATGTTTTCAGATAACAAAACAAATAATAAACACTGAAAAAAAACTTTGTTACTATAACAAATACTTATTTTTTCAGAATTTCCTCCTCCTTAAAAAATTGGAAAAATATGAGCTGTTTATTTTCATTCCAATTTTTTAGCTCCTTTGTTAAAAAAACTTAACCAATCTCTATTTATTGCTAATATGATAGTCAAAATGATTATATCATAATGGTTATAGTTTACATTTTAATACTATATAGATGGGTGAAGGAAATAGTGTAGGAAAATAAATTTTCACAGTTTGTTATATTTTCATGTTAAATGTTAATATTTTCACATTAAACTTTTTTACCTCCAGTATTTCCTAATATTTCTTGACTTCTTGAAAGTCATTGAAAGGTGATAAAAGTAATGGTGGGTACTTCAGGTAGAGGGAAAAAGTAAATTAGGTAACATTATCAAATGCTCCTGTGGCCTATGGAGACAAAATTCAGCATCTTCCCTATGCAAGTCCTTAATCTTGGGCATGTGGAGAATGTTCCAATGTGGAAGAGTGTGGATCCCAACCCCATTCTTGGCGTAGGAGACCGATGTGATGCACATTGTTACAATGGGGGAAAGGATGGTTCTTATGGAAGAAAACTACAAATGTTATCATTTAAGAATTTTTTCTTTAAAAATAATCAATGAGGGCCTCCCCTGGTGGCGCAGCGGTTGAGCGCTGGGTTGCGAAGCTGCCCGCATTCCCTGCAGCTCCGCTGCTGCCGGCGAGGGTCCCACAAAAAAATAAAATAAAAAAATAAAATAAAAATAATCAATGAGGGCCTCCCTGGTGGCGCAAGGGGTTAAGCACCGCACTATGAAGCAATCCACAGCCTCTGCAGCTCAAGTTCGATCCTCCACCGGCCAGAGAGAAACCCACATGGCAAGGCAGACCTCTCCTGTCTCACCCTCTGCTCCCCTCAGCAGTGTGTTTCGGTCAGTCTGCCTGTTCTGTTCCCCACTCTGTCTCTGGTGAATCCTCTCACACACACACCTCCCCCTGGCCCTGCATCTCTGGTCTGTACCCCAGCTCTTGTATGCATAAATAAAAAAATCTTAAAAAAAAATAATCAATGAACACTAGCATGCAACTTAAAAATCAACAAGAATCTTAAATTTGGCCTTTTTAATTTAAAATTAAAACAACTGGACTAAGATTACGAGAGCAAAAGGATGAGGGGGTTCACCGGGTGCTAGTGGAGGGTCATTGGTACTTTAATGATAGCTGTGGTGTGGTATACATTTGGAAATGTGTGAAACTATACTCCTAAAACATGTAGTATTGTAAACCAGTGCTACCACAGTGAAAATAAACAAAACACTTACCTATTATCCCAGATCCTATAATGGAGTTGACAACATTAAAAACAGCAGCAAACTGAAGACAAGCTTTCCCTTTACGTTTATGTTCAGAAACGAGGGTTTCTCTGTCATCTAGAAAGCTCTATTTTAATATATAAAATGGCAATTAAATATTTGCTAGCTCAAGAAATTAGAAAAATGTCAGACAAATATGCAATGTCTGATACTATCAAGGTATTAGGCAGAATAATAAACAATGTCAATAACGATAATTAAATAATGAGGATAATAAAGAGAAACAAGAACAGCTAGTATATCAGCTTTGTAAACTCCATCCTAAATTGTCTAATGACAGGTGCCCCAAGTTCTGGGACTGCTGCGTGGAATCCCAGAGTACAGGATCTGTTATTTAGCCAAAGATGTGATTTTTGTGAAATATTGAAAAGTGCCTGTCCCGCACCCCCACATCCCAAAAGAAGTCTGGTTAAGGAAATATTTTTTCTCCCGGGGAACTTTCTCGGCAGAAAATCAAAACCCTGGGAAGGAAGCAGACCTCTTTTGCAGAGTGAATGCAATGGAAGGGACCAGGCTTCAGAACCTGCCCATCTCCAGTTTTACCTGCGGGGCACTATCGGGCAGCTGCTCCTGGTAGCCCATGACTGCACCCGGGTCCCGAGCAGATTGAAGGTTCCTCGGCCTGGACCCTCGCTTTAGCCCGCCTTGCCTCCTCCGAAACCTCGCACACCCGGGGTCCGCGCGCCGCGGGAAAGCTGGAGACTGCGCTTCTGCCCGCGCCCCCGCCCCGCCAGCGCATCTAGCAGACCGCACGGACTGCAGCGGTGAGCTCTCCGGGCGGCGGCCCCGGGCGGTGTCCCCAGCGGAGCTTGCCCAGCCCAAAGCACCTTCCTTCAGATGCAAAGATGTTGCAGGATGTTACCGATATGGGCAGCATCTCACCTCTCACCCCGCCTTTTTTTTTTAACCCGCCCCGAGCTGCAAAGCACAATTCGTTCTGCTCTCTGCCCTGCTCAGATTGCACAGTTTTGACGGCCTTGTTTTAGTTCATTACTAAATTAATCGCTCGTTGGAGTTTGCTGCCCAGGTAAGGGCGCAGTAACACCATTGCCCCCAAGGGGCATTTTTTTTCTACCACTTCTCCTTCCCCCTCCTGCCTCCATCTCTTCTGTGGCAGAGTTGACATCTAAATTTAGGATTTTTTTCTTTTTTTTTTTTTTTTTTGCTTTAAATGGAAAATAAACAAAAGAAATAGTCGCTAGGATTTTAGCAGAGATGATTATTGGGCATGCTTTGGCCAAATGTTTTCTGATGACCTTTCAAAAAAGGACACTTCAAGAAGAATGAAGGAAAATGAATTGATAACGAATACAGCTAATGAGCCCTCAGGATATTGGGGGCTTAAGGGGGTGGGAAAGAGATGGTGCTTAGATGATATGATCTCCAGAGATTCTTAAATGACCATCTGTTCACCCATCTGGTATTACAGATGAGGAAACTGAGGCCCCGAGAATATTCAATCACAAAGATATAGAATATATGGCGAAGTTTTAGGGACAGTAAGAGACACATAAATCAGTATCAAGTAATTAAAGAGCTTTTTTCATAGACATTTAAAGTTAGGAAACATTTTAAAAACATGGAAAAACTAAGCAAGTTCAAAAAAACTTTATATGCTTTCTATCATCAAATTAATAAATGTTAACATTTTGTCTTATTTTTTCAAATTGCAAAAGTAATTTTTTTTTTATAGAGGCATGTTTTATTTATTTATTTATTTACTTGTTTGTTTGTTTATACATGCACTGGGTACAGTCAGAAGCACGGGAGGGTGAGAGAATTCACCAGAGCCAGAGCGGGGAGCAGAGCAGGCAGAAGGACCGAAGCACACTGCTGAGGGGAGCAGCGGGCGGCAGGAGGGGTCTGCGCACCATTTGGGACCCTCCTCCGGTGGCCAGGGAGCAGCCGGGGATCGAACCGGCGCCGCAGAGGCTGCGGGCAACTTCGCAACCCAGCGCTCAACCGCTGCGCCACCGGGAGGCCCGCAAAAGTAAAATTTTAATGTCACAATTGGAACCCCTTTACCTTTCCCCATTCCTCATCCCTGGAGTCATTCAAGTGATGACTACATCCTGAAGTTGAAGTGTATCTTTTCTATTTATGTATTGTATTTTAATTATCTGGTTTTGGTTAGGAGTCATGGGGGTGGGGTACTGAGGAATGTATTAAAGTCAAAGTGACTGTAAGTCCTGGTTTGCCCAAAACAGTCCTATTGTGGGTTTTTCATCACAATTTGATTATAAATAGCATCACCCTTTCAGATGTTAAGTTACAATATCCTGCTTCAAAGGCAACTGGGAGATAATAGTACCACTCAATATTTATTTGCATAGTACTTCACAGTTTTCTGTAGTGTTCAGGCTGAGAAGGTCTAGACAAAAATACCACAGACTTTTTGTGCCTTAGTGTAGCAAATTAGGACTTCAGGCTCTGAAATTAGAAAAACCTAGATTTGATTTGTAGCTCAAAGGATCTTGGCAAGTTATTTAACCGTTTGAGACAATTTTATTTGAAAAAGGGAAGAATAATCACTCCTTTTAAAAAGCAATGGTTGTTGGAATTAAATCAGATAATCTGTTTGGGTTAGTTTCCTGTGGCTGCTGTAACAACATACCATAAGCTGGGTGATTAAAAATAGCAGTAATTCTCAGTTTGGGGGGGGTTACAAGTCCAAAATCAAGGTATTCTCAGGACCATGTTCCCTTTGATAGCTATAGAGGAGAATCCCTTCTTGCCCCTTTTAGCTTTTGGTAGCTTGCCAAAAATCTTTGATGGTCCTTGGTTTGGAGATGTATCATTCCGATCTTCCATCTACTCATGGGATTCTCTTTGTTTCTCTTCGCATAATCTTCAATCTGGGCATGTTTGTCTATGTACAATTTACCCTTTTTATAAGGACATCAGTATATTGGATTCAAGCCCCCCCAATGAATTCATGTTAACATGACCATACCTGCAAAAACCCTATTTCCAAATAAGGCCACATTCTGAGGTGCTGGGGTTAGAACTTCAACATAATGCATTTGGGAGCTGCATTCAACCCATAGCACTCTCTTAAAATGATTTAATTACTTGGCACATAATACTTGCTCCATAAATGTTTGTTGCTGCTAAATCCAAACAGAGAATTACTTTATTAGGCTGAATGTGTACAAAGTATTAACTCAATAGCTATTGCAGCAGAAACTGTAACAGGGTGGTCCTCAGGAAAGCGGGATATTCCAAGTTTCCTGCCCCACCCAAAAGGAGGGTGGAGCTGAGCAGGGAGAAGCTGCAGAGGAGACTGAGGAAGGAAGCAGGATGGGATGCCAGAAGGAGACCTGGAGGAGGCACATGTTGCTGAGAGACACATGAAGAAACTACACTTGCCTTTTGGCCGTGGACTGGGTGACACAGATGTGGGTGAGAGACCCGTGGGGAGGTGACAGTGGCAGTTTTTATCTTTTGATTCTGCTCTTTTCCTTCCAGACTTGTCTGGTTGTTTCTGACCCTTTTCTATGGGTCCCCACTGGAAGATGCTTTAGACTTGTGACAGGCTTTGGGAACTTGCTCTGGGCCAATCCTGCTTGGGTGGACTTTTACCCACGAGGGGAAGGGTAACTTTGGGTACTTGATTTAGAAACTATATTCTTTGCCTTTCCTGTATTGTTTCCTAATTGTATTAAAGTTCCTTCCCATTAAAGTCTCATAGGCTTTGTGTTGATGCTGCAGATGGCAGAACCTATTTAGAGCAGGCAGGTTTGCGGGGTCTGGGGTGCCCCTCTCCCTGCCCTGTAACAAAACTATTTGGCTCAAAATTGTCGGTCTCTCTTCTTCCAGCATGATGGAGTTTCTGGTTTTTGTATGGACAATGGTCACCTAGGAAGAAAAATAATACTAAATCTTCACTATTACTGGTTGTCACTAAGTCCTGACCCAAAGGTTATTGGATAAAGAGAAGGATTATGTATTTAATTTTTTTGTTCTTATTGACTGGAGTATAGAGACATGATGGCTATAGCAGGAACTTTATCTTGGACCCACTACCTAGTGGGAACTTCATATTGAATTTGGCTAAGTGACAAGATAGAAGGATAGTGGATCCTTGATGGATATACCAGATCTGGATTGCTCAGATGATGTGAAAAAGAAATAAACTTTCATGTTGTTTAAACTACTGAATTGGGAGATTTTCTGTTGTTTATATACAAATTGAATAACCCTTACTAACACACCATCTCATGCTACCAAAATTATGATTCCTAATAGTCATATAGAGCCTCCCTTAGTGGCGCAAGGGTTTAGCTGTAGCACTATGAAGCAATCTGCAACTACTGCATCACAAGTTTGATCCCCAGCCATGGAGGTGACCCTCATGGCACAGCAGACCTCTCCCTGTCTTGCCCACTGCTCCCCTCAGCAGTGTATTTCAGTAGATCCACCTATTATGCTCCCTACTCTGTCTCTTGTGAATCTTCTCACCCCCCTGCACCTCTGGCCTGTACCCCAGTTCTTGTATGTATAAATAAATAAACCTTTAAAAAAATAGTCAAATAGTTTCATCCAATCTAGATATTTCTTTATAACAGCACAAATATTTTATTTTTTAATTTAATTTAATTTTTAAAAATTTCTTCTTCTTCTTATTGTTATTATTATTATTATTATTTTGCATAGAAGAAAGGGGGTACAGGCCAGAAATGCAAGGGGTGAGAAGATTCACCAGAGACAGAGTAGGGAGCAGAACAGGCAGCTGTTCTGAGAACAGTGACTAAGACTTCTCTGTGACTTCTCTTGTCCCGACCCGCGGGATTCGGAGGCACGGAAAGAGAAGGGCTGAGGATTGAAATGAGGGGCTTGACAAATTGATGCTAGCGTTTGCTTCTTTATTTTTCCTTTTTCCTTTTCCTACTTTTACATGTTTTTTCCTTTCCCTGTCCTACTACCTTCCCTGGCTTTCTCTATGCTCCTCTCTCAGTACGTTTCTCAGTATCCTCTCTCAAAGTCTCTACACAGTATCCTTTCCACAGTCTCCTTCTCGAGGTCTCCTCGCCTCATCCTCTACGCAGTCTCTCTCCTTCTCCTCTATGCAGTCTCTCCAGTCTCTCCCGTGGTTCCCTTCTTATTCCCCCTCGCTCCTCCCCTCGTACCTCCCAGTCCCACGTGATTTTCCGGAAACGCAGTGGTTTCTCCGAAGGCGAAACAGAAATCGAAACCTAACTTGCGAGCATGTGCAACACGGCACATGCTCCATGCGGCTCCGGACATTCTCTCTTATCACAGAGAAGTCTCAGTCACTGATTGTCAACCTTAGATCTTACTCAGCAAAACTCAGCTCTGACTCTGACTTGACTGGTCTCTCAGCATCTTCTGCTCAGCTGCCTATATTCCCCACAAATGTGATGGACAATGCAGTTTTAAGTATCTGTCTTTCAGCTAGGAATCCAAACAAATTTGACCTTTCATATTGGCAGCTTACATTATTTACTGTAAGATCAGAACCATTTCCCAAGTTCCAGAAACTAGCAATCACATCTGTTACAGCCTAGCTACTTCATGTGTACTATGTGACTAACAGTGCAAGACAGTAGGTTAGCAAGCTGAGATTGACCTTCAAATAGTACCAGTTTATATCACTCATTAACAATTATGCCCAACAACACCCAAAGTAACAGGGTTGAAGAAATGAAATTGGTACTGTGTGCCTTTTAGTACCTTGTAGTCAAGGTAATCTATGAAGGTTACAATAGACTAAATAAGTTCATTAA